GAACGCATTGATACTTTGCGCTCATAACTTTCTTGTGTTTCTGAAGCCGTCATGTTTTAGTCTGTCGTCATTGCTTTAAAAACAATGATTTTCTGCGGCAGCGCATCCAAAAAGTTTGCGCCGCCCTTTTCCTCATCCTCTTTCAAGGTCTATATTTCCGGGCTGGCCGTTTCCTTTACGGCTTTTCACCGGGCGGTCGCCTCTCGCATTTCTCCACACAGCCGTCCCCTTCCATCCTTTCGTTGCATCAGTTTGACCCCCGCACTCTCTTACCCTCCCTATTTCCTATAATCAATGCCCGGGCCCAACATACCTCTTCTTCCATATCTTATCTTCTTCCCTCTGCCTTACTTACTTTTTCATACCATTACTGCGCCCATACCCTCGTCGCCACCCCGTCTACAATTCACCCATTTTCAGGGCATTACACGGGTCGCCCTTGAATTTTATATGAATGCACGACACCAGAAGTTTCGTTTAGTAAGTTTTTAGATATTTATGGTTTTGAAAATGCTAAAACTTTCAGATTTTGTGGATTATTTTCTTTTTCAGAATGTTGAGTTGCGCCAGGTAAAAAGATGCAGCCGCTTGTTTCTCCACTCCCTTCTATTGCATCGATGCGTGGGGAAAGGGTGGGGATTTTTATTTTACCAGCATTTGCTAGTAGCTAAAAGTGTTCTTTGGAGTGCCGTATATTTCTTTCTATGTTATTTTACACAGGATTTTGGCATTTTATTGCTCAATATACGCTTTCTCTCTGCGTAGACGTGGAGAGAAACCGAAGAATAGACATTTTGCTATATAAAATGCCAAAATTCAGCGTGTGACAACATATTAAGAAGTATACCGTAAGAAACTGCATAAACTCTATTACTTCTGCGCTTCCCTCACTCCTTCTACCTTGGCCAAAAACGCCCGTCGGGTGCACGTGATCGTGTTGGCCGCCGTGCACTTTCATTTTTGGGGGGTAGGGGTGAATCCCCGGGCGTCGTCCCTAACTGGCACGCGTCGGGCCCGGGCTCTCGCCCCTCTCGGCCCAGTTTTAGGGGAACAAACACGACGGCCAATGCTCAGCTGGTAAATAACGCTCCCCATGGCACCATAAACACCCGGCCATGCCTTGGCTAGCTCCCCAAAAATACGCTAGAAGACGCACGCCCTCTCCAGCGAGGGATTACTGATGTTATTTACGTCAACAAGCGCGTTATCAAAAGGGGGCCTGGAATTAGTGGCGGAGCTTTTTTAGTATTATCGGGAGGGGGGAAGTAATTTAATGAATGTTTTTAGTAAAGATAAAACTATTTTTCAATCTAGAAAAACCTTTAAAAGGTCTGGCCGAAAAATTGATTTTGTATTATTACTAAAAATTTGTAAAGTTTTTGCGCATGTGCCAAAGTAAAAAACAGTTTAGAACACTTCCGCTGTTTATCTTTCAAAACAAAATGGAAAAAGGTTCAAAAGGTTTTGCCCCCCGATAATGCGAAAGAACCGCGGCGGAAATTGTACAAAAATATCGCGGGATGCGAGCAAAGATCATTGCGACACAGCCTAATTTAACTTCCCCATTTTCCAGTTCGAGTACAGCGCGGAGAAGCACTTCACCCTCGGCTCCCTGGGGTTCGCCGAGGTCGACTGCGAGAATATCGATCTCACCTATGTAAGTTGTCGACAATTTTTGGAATTCTGGGTAGCGATCACATTTTTGTGCACCTGACTGGCTGTGTTGCCATCCTTTTGTCAAAACCACCGAGAACAGCGCGGCGCCCGTATCCCCGGGCCTTACACGCCCGGAGAAAACGTACGCCGCGGGGATCAGCTGAGTGTTTGGAGGGGGATCAGCTGGACAGGGGCAGGTTGTTCTTCTTTTCGCTGCGCTCTCCTCGCGCTGTACACTCTCTCGCCCATCCCTCAATCAACCCCCGCAGCAGCAGCATCGGTCCCATCCACACCGCAGCGACGTCCCGTTCATTGGTGGGGGACGGGTTGTGCGAAGTGTGCTCAAATATGGTCACGGATATGGTGGGGAGTGGGGATTGTTCAGCTGCAGCTGGGGAATTGGTGTGGAATCGGAAACTCAACTAATGCATTATGAAAAACGGCTCCTTTCAGGTACGAATAAACAGCGACGAACTGTGCGCGAACATCGACGAGCACGTCTGCGCATTCTACTCGGATGTGGCCGAGAGCTTGACCTCGCATCCGCCCACCCCGGCCTCATCTCCATCAAGTCCGCCGATAAACCGATTTGGAGGTCAGTGAGCACCCCCAACAGTCCGACATTTCCAAATCTGAGGCATTTCCGACGTTGTTATGAATATAATGCGAAAACTATCGCCAAATTCCAGAACCCAGCTCCTCGTCGACGCAGGTGATGCTCGGCCTCGAGTTTCTGCAGAAAAAGAAGCGCCAATGGCCCTTCAGCGAGGAGCTCGCTTCGTGGGAGGTGTGGAACCTCGGCCTCGAGATTTGCCGTACATCAAATGGTAGGCGTCGATAGTCGCAAAATAACTATGAGCTCCCCCTCCAGATGAGCTGTCGGTGATGCGGGAGAGCGTGGCCGAGGCGCTCGGCGACTTGGTGCTCGCCGTCTGCTCCCAAATAAATCGACCGCAATACATGCCGAAGATGCCCAGCAAGTGAGTTTTCCCAGCTTCATCGACTGTAACTCGGCTACCCATCCTCGGACAGGGTTGTAAAGTGTAACAAAATAGTCGTCAGAGCAAGACGAACATTTTGGTATGCTTTACACGCCTGTAGACTACCAGAGAACAGTCTTGCCGAAAAATTTTGAAATTTTGAAACTGTTGTTTTTAAATTTTAAAATTTCTTTTTAAAATTTGGCAAAGAACAATCCGAAAGTCGAAATTTTGCAAAACTTTTACTTTTTTTCAAAAACCTACTTGCTCACCTAAACTTCTTGAATTCAGAACGGAGCTGACGAGCGTCTTTGACGTCCAATTCTCCGACTGTCAACCCTACCTCTACAAGGTGGTCACCTCAACCCCACTCAACCGTAAGTTCAGCACCAGCAAACTTTAACAGCCGCCCATTTCCAGGACGCCTCCAAGCCAGCCAGCGCCCACTCGCCACCATCCAGTCGGTCATCAAGAATCTGGCGTATCCGACGTGAGCCCCCGCCAGGACTCTGTCGACTTTTCTAGCCATCCATTCTTCCGCCCCACGGGTTCGCTCTAGTGGATATCGAATTTAGTCTCTCCCCCGGCTTATACACAATCAGCGCCCAACCCAGTGGAAAGCTTTTGCCTTGCCAAATCCACTCAATTCCGGCGCGTCGGCTCGAATTTAGCCTTGGATTTGTTGGAGGCGTAAGGCAAATGTTTCTCCACTCTCCCCTCCCCATTCAGAACCAGGTGCCTCAACGCAGGGGTAGCCCAGTCTTTCCCGCCCTCGGAAACCACTCCTCAACGTGGAGCTTGTGCCTATTCCCCCCTTACCCTTGTACACAGTACTCTATCGTACCCTGCTCGCCGCAATCTGTCATTTCCCCCCACCCACACCCTACCCCGGATTCTACCCTCACTTACCGGCCCGATGATTCTGATACGCAGGAAAAACCGCCCACTACCAATTCTAATCAAACAGCTTCAGGCACCTTTTCGCGGCCATGTAAGCGCCGCCCCAAAAAACCTCATCGCTACAACGGTGGCCACCATAGGCCAACGCGCTCAAGTGTAGACACCCCCGCATAGGCTGCCCATAGTTGTGCCTCCACACATTGTTTTTGTTTGCATTTGTCTCGTCGCGTACTCTCGCCCTAAACACCTCTATGTCGCTCTCCCACACTTTCTCGTCGACTCGAATAAACGTGTATGTACAAAATTAGGGTTTGACAAATACTAAAATGCACATCAGGAGTGGCAGAGGGCGTTGCGGAAGTAGTTTTACAAGACAGAAATCGTGAAATTAGGAATTAGAGGTTGGCAAAGATATTAGCAAATGTTATACTAGAAAAAAGCTTACATTTTATGGCTCGTTATTTACCTAAAAGAGCGCAACTAATTTTGGCACCAGACATGGCAATCGGCCGGGCCGCGCGGCTTTTTCGGCCGCAAAAATTAGCATGCGGCCGGGCCGCGCGGCTTGGCCGCACTTCCGGTGCGGTTGCGGCTTTTTTCCGTTTGAGGCCGCACGGCGGCCAAGCCGCGCGGCTTTTGAGGCCGCATCAAAATGAGTTTTGAGTACTTCCGGCACGTAAATCAGAGATGCAATGCGTATTTAGCCTGCTAGCCAGGAATATCCATACTCGACAACCTTAATTTTCTCATTTCCATTCCCATTTGGCCTGAAATTCGCGGTTTTTCGACATGTAAATGAGCCACTTCCGGTTTGCGGCTTGGCCGCAGCGGCCCGGCCGAGCCGCGATCAAAATGCGGCTTGGCCGCAAAGCCGCATTGCCGGAAGTAACTAATTACGGCGGCTCGTAGGGGGCCGCGTTTTTTATGGAAATTAGGCCGCCGGCCCGGCCGCGCGGCTCGGCCGATCGGAATTGCCATGTCTGTTTGGCACTATACTGTTAGCAGGGGGACACTAATTTTTCCCAGTAATCCTGTACGGTGCCATAACAAAATATCAACAATTTTATCGTATTTTACACAGTTTTCAAATAAAGAATGCTCTAAAACAACTTAATACTTATTGGAAAAAATTTGGCTTTTTGGTTAAAATTAAATGACCAAAAAGGTAAAAATTTTCGAATTAAAAAATGCTTACAATATTTTTTAGAACTTTCTAGCAATCAAACACCACGAAAATCTTATAAAATATACGATTTATTATTAAGTCCCGTAATTAACCGGAACGGAAAGATTGATGGGGAAAACAAAGATTGGTTACCCCCTGCTAACAGCCCAGTACCCGAATTTTAAGCTCAATACAGAAATTAACATCTAGCTCTAAGATTCCATAATCATACAAAGCATAAAAAATCGTGCAAGCACCACTGAAAAATCCAACCGCTATACCTTCCTACTGCCTCCGCAATGGACAGCGTGCAGACACCCCAGGGCTCCGTGGCAATCAGTGCGTTTTTCGGCTCAAGCTACGCTTCAAATTTTGAAAGCTAAACTTTGTAGCCTGAAGTTTATAATTGATAGGCGGCAGCTCGGCCCGCCGCGGCCCCAACAACACGCTGCGCCTGAAAAAGGCGCCCAACCCGAAGAAGGAGCAGCAAGTGGTTGGTCTTGCCGTGAAAGATCGCCTAAATGTCACTAATTCTCTGACATCGATAGAAAAAGGATATTTCACCGCGAAAAGACAAACTAGCAAAGAAAAATGTTTTTTCATAAATGAACCGCAAAAACAAACTAAAAGATGTTTCCAAAAGTGCTTTTACCAAAAGCACAAGCGATAAAACACCATAAATTCCTTACAAGTCCAAGACTTGCCTTTTGATCCAGAACTTTTAGAGTCACAACTAAATTAGCATAAGCCTGCAAAGCATGGAAAAATTAGTCGAGCGGCTCTCTGAAAAATCAACCGCTATACCTTCCTACTGCCTTCGCGATGGACAGCGTTTCAGACGCCCCGGGGCTCAGTGGCAATCAGTGCGTTTTTCGGCTCAAGCGGTCTTCGAATTTTGCAAAGATAAACCCCCCTGAAATTTACAATTGATGGGCGGCAGCTCGACCCGCCGCGGCTAACAACACCGCTTTGCGCCTGAAAGAGCGCCCCAACAGAAGAAGGAGCAGCAAGTGGTTGGTCTTTGCCGTGAAAAAGATCGCCTAAGAAATTTCACTACCTCAGAGAACAAAGGCATAAAAAAGAACCAAAACCACTTTTTGTCTTACAGTTCAAGGGGCGGTTGCAGGCCGTACGTGCAGAAAATTTGTCAGTAGGTCCTGGAAATTGTTTTTCTACTTTTTGGTGAAAGGCATTTGTCCAACAGGCCAGCTTCTACGCACTTTGTCCAAGCCGGAAAATGCGGGCGGAGACGCAGTCCGGGTATTCCTACCGGGCTCCAAATCCATTAATCCGAGTGAAAATGACTCGCCATAAAAACTGCTTGAAATGCGTGCTGCTGCTGGACGCGACGCGCGTCGTCCTGCTGCGACTGGCCCCTGACTTTGTCATCTTAGCTGGGTGTGCCCCCCGAGATGGTACGTGGATTGGTGTACCATGGAATTGTCACTCTTTTCAGGCCGCTACGAGGATCAGACCGAGTGGAAGGCCAAGCAAAGTAAGAGTTTTTTGAAAACTGACACGAAAATCAACATATACTGGAAACAAATAATCCCCCATTTTGCGGAAATACACATCGCCGCCCAGGCACCCCCCCGCCCGCCGTCGCCGCCGACTTTTGGCACATGTGCGCCTTGGGAGGGAGCGTCGAGGGCGTAGTGCTGCTCGGCGAGGAGGACGCCAAGTGGGGCATTTCCGATCCCTCTCCTACACATACTTAGGGCCGTGATGACGGCGCCGAAATGCGGCGACTACAACGTGAAGGTGGAGCAAAGTCCGAACCGCGCGGCTTCACCCGTCCACCCCCGCTGGCCAGCAAGATCAAGCACTCGCTGACGGTATGCGCAGAGGTTTTTTAACGGTGGCTTTGCTGCAGCTCTTCCGCCTGGCCGCCTGGTCGATTGGATGAGAAAGTAGCGCCGGTCGAGACGTTCGCCAAGTTTCGGCAAGCGGTAGGGCAGGGTTGAAGCATGCACCGCCCCTTTCCGCTGCAGATCTGGGCCGGGGTGAGTGGCAAGAAGCCGATAGTCGTCACCTGCAAGTTTGGCACCTATCGCACCGGTGAGCGTTTAGAAACCCGAAAGTGACCTACAACTCTTTCCAGGCCTCTTCCTCCTCTACGACATCGAGACGGAGCGTATCGAGAAGCAGAAGAAGCTCGACCTCGACGGCACCGTCAAAGACCTGCGGTAGGGTG